GGATCTTAATTGAATCTTGTTTGTTGCGTGCTACCATCAAAGCCATAAGAAACTATAAATATGCATTGAACAACATTAATTTCTGCAATATCTTTCTCAATAAGTTCATGCTGTAATTTACAAATTCTTTCTAGAGTATGTCTTAATAGATACTTCTATTCTACTTCGATAAAATTTCCAATTTGCAACATTTCACTTGGGCAACATTGAGATTTTTCAGCTGATACCAACTTATAAGGTGGGAAAATATCACCACCTTGAGTTTTAGCTGCAAATCTTACTTGATTATACTGATCTTTGGACAAATTTGTATCAAAAAGAAATGACAATGCTTGTTCCAGTGGCATTCTCACAACTTCAGAGTTAATCTTATTCAATACAGCTGTCAAATTTTGATTTTGAATAATTTGTTTGATTAAATGAGATAAGTCTTTTTTGTCATGTGCAGCGATGGTTGCAGCAACTCTTAGGTACATTTCAGTTTCGGGTTCGTTATTAAATACAAGATTAGCAACAACTCGGCGTTTGGATCTGCCAGACATCTCTGAAAATGACATAGTTGGTCTTCCTTTTTTCTTTTATTTAAAACTGGGTGGCTGAGGGTCACATTTAAGTTCTATTGGAAGCTCGTATTCAGTTTAAAGCCAACTTCCATGGTATTTCATGAATCTTGCATAAAAATAACCTTGCTTTTTCCAAAGTTCATTGTATCGCTTTTTTACATTTCTTATTTTTTGTGTTATAACATATTTTTCTACTTCCCTCAGGTCTCTTTTAAGTTTTTCTTCACAATGCAACAAGCATTTTTCAATAAATAGATAATGTTAATTATTTTGTTTTACAATTGAAGCAATTTTACTATACTTAATAATCATTGAAAATGCTTTTACACAATTCACGGTTTTATTTCTTTGAACTTTTCTTTTTGAATTACGTAAGCATTATTTGTTATTGATAGAAATGCCATCTGTTTTTTTTTTAGAAAAAAAAAAAAAAAAAAAAAAAATTCAAAAATACAAAAAAAAAGTTTTTTAAACGAGAAAACTTTTTTTTGTATTTATATCAAATTTGATTGAATTAAGTTTCAAGTATTTATTGCAAGTTAGATTTCCACCGGCCATTAACAGCGAAACTATATCTCTAGCTTTTAAGTTATAAACAAACTAAAAACACTATAAATATATATTTTTTTATTGGAAATAAATAAAATTAAAGTAATTTTATTGCATATATTGATAGACTTTTTCATTGTCTTTACACCGATATATAAATTAATATGCTTAAAACAGCAGTTACAAAGTAATTAAAATAAACTCAAAATAGGAATTTTAACACAAATTTCTGTCAGCATTAGTTTAAGTCTAATGATTACTCAACATCAAACTTTTTTTAAAATTTAAACTAAGCAGTATTAGATGCAGATACAAATAAAGATATAAAATTGGCATTTAAAGTTTAAAAAAAAATAAAACTTGCTTTATATGATTTTAGGCCAGTTTTGCAACAAGACCCTAAACAGAAAAAAAAAAAAGGTTTTTCAAATGTATGTCATGTTGGGTCTCAAAAGAAGTGAAATGTTATAAAAATTTCAAAAAAAAAATAATACCATTTTTTGTTAAAAATACCTTGAAAATTTTTTTTGACAAAAACCATGAAAAAATGTTATTTTTTTTAATTTTTTGTTAAAAAATAATAAATTTTGTGCAATAAAACTTTTTTTAGTTTTTTTATTTTTATTTTTTCATTTTTTTTTCATTTTTTTATTTATATCCTTTATTTAATTCTTGTGTAAAATTTTTATTATTTTTGAAATTTTTATAAAATTTTGATTCTTTTGAGACCCAAAATGTCATACATTTGAAAAACTTTTTTTTCTTCTATTTAGGGTCTTGTTGAAAGTTTCAGACTTGAGGTGGCCCCCCTAAATCACATTCAGTTTTGAAAAAATTTAACAGAGTGTTTTGTGAGAACCAATAGAATGTTTTAAGAATAACAGTAGAAAGTTAAAAAACCGGTTATTTCAAAATTCATTTAAAAAATGGGTAGAACAGCTAAAATAACAATTATAATGGGGCATTTCTGGTTATAATATAAGAACCAAAATCAATAAACTTAATTTAAAATACAAGAAATTGACTAAATTGTCTTCTCTAAACTGAAACAGCAGCCTTGATAAGCAATTAAGTTAGAGAAAGATTTTCTCACAGAATCCTATCAGCTTTTTGACACCTCGACTAAGAATTTAGAAAAAGATATTCTAGCTGATAGATTGAGAACAGATGATGCCAAGCTGGAAGAAATAAAGCAAGTTCATTAAATAACACTTTTTTGAGTAGCGAGATGTACTTTCCAATTTAAAGTAACTTAAGTAATAGCATACTATTTCCTTTCAAATATTTACGTTTAACTCTTTCCATGGTTTGGTCATCTTCCAAGAAAAACTAGAACAATTATTAATTAATTTATAAATGTCTTAACAGATTTAAATATTTTTTAGTTTTTATGAAGACCAGAAGTTGGTTAGGAAAGGATATATGGGAACAAAAGTCGATGGAGACTATATTAGGAGAGTACTGGATGCAAATAGGAGAAAGAACAAGCTAGATAAGTTGAGAAATAAAGAATTAGAGAGACAGAAAAACTTATAATATATTAACATTTTGTTGTCACATGACTCCATGACAGAAGAGATTCAATTCAGTAGAAAGGAAGAAAAGTCAAACAAGGACTCTGAAATCAGAGAGGAAAAAGATTTCCTGGGTAACAGTCGGAAACGCAGGTATAGTATTATTTTAATAACATAGTTGTAATTTTCACAAACTAAAGCTGTTTTATTAAGAAGTATATAGTTATAAATAGGTAGAAAAATATTACAAAATGATACCTAGAAACAACTCTGGATAAATCATAGCAGTGAATGTTGAAAAGCTCATTGAGTGTACTGCTATTCCAGCAACTAGGTTCAATGTTGGTGTATGATCTTATCTGGCAATTTTAAGTGAAGTATTTAAAGCTGGAGGTATAGGGATTAATGATATACTGCTTTCACACTTCACAGAAAAAAGTTTGAATATGTAGAATTTGAAGGAGATTTGGATTTCAATAACAAATCATCTTAAAGGCCAACAGCTTATTCTTCATTTTGATACCAAACTACCACTGTGGAACAAATTACCACTGGGCTTAACATTATTCAAAAAGTTAAACAACTTGCATTCAAGTGAGCTCCCTGGATAACGATACCATGGAAGACCATCTTTTAGGTATTCTTCAATGTCCCTTTTCAAAGGGAGTTGACTAAGCAGAATAAATGCACAATCTTTTATAATATTGTGGATGTAAAGAGCAGATCATTAATATATGCTGTGATACAACTGCAAGCAATACAGGCAATGGAGTCAATGGAGCAGTTCAAATTCTTACTGATATTTTGAAATTACCAGTGTTGTGGATGTGTAGGAGACACATATAAAGTACATTTATCTCACTACATGGCTGCTCTTACTGGTGAGAAAACTAAAGGTCCAAGAGAGCTCTTTATGTATCAAGTGGTCTGAAATCTGCAAGAAAATTAATTAAGAGAAAAATTTATGTAAATTGGACTGGCAAAGAGATGATCTGAAGATTGGATTTGTTCTTCGAATTTGTAGAGTAGGCTAAGACATTTTTGACTAAAGCAACTACTGATATGGTGTTTTCAAGTAATGATTATGGTATAGTTTGTAAGCTTGCCTCCTTCTTCCTTGGAGTGGAAGTATAAGATTTCAAGTTCCATCAACCTAGCGCCTGACATGAGGCAAGGATTTTAGCAGATGCAATGTACATGCTGACTCTTTATATGACCGAAAATATCAGCAATATCTTGACAGAAAAAGAAGTACTGCAATTGAAGGATGCAAGCTTGTTCATTGCAATTTGCTATGTTCCATGGTTTTTGATTCGTTTTTAGTATTTCTGGCTCCCTACAATAATTTATAAGCTATCTTAATAGCCTGCATTGAGAAAAGTCAGTAAAAGATTGGAAATGGTTTGCTTCTTAGCATGGGACGCCATATGTGGTGCTTAACTCCGCAACTCTGTGTTTTGTCCTTTGGAGATGAAGAAGTTCCTTCTGAAACAAAGCTAAAAATGCTATTAGCTCTGATTGAGTTTAAAGAGCCAAATGAATTTCAGCGTTGTAAACCATCAAATGTAAAGAGCTACCTGCGAGTAAAACTAACTTCTCTTCAAACATTTTAAAATATCAAGAGTAAGTATAAAATAATGGCCTAATAAAAGTCTTAATACTATAGATGTTTTTAACCATTCTCAGTTGCTAGATTTTATTAAACTCTTAAATTTTTTATATAAATACAATTTGGAGACATCTTTTCCAAATGTCGCCATGAGTTTAAAACTTTTTTTTAACTATTCCAGTTTTCATTGCTTCAGGAGAGCAATGTTTCTCAAAACTGAAAATAATTAAAAATTACCTGAGGACATCAATAACAAAAGAACGTATCAGTAATGTTTTAATTATTGCAATAAAAAGTGACATTGCTGATTCGTTAAATATTCAAGTAGAACAATTTTATGTTTTTTAATTTATTTTAACTCATTTTATGAAAATTTAGCATTTTTAGAATAAAAATAAAAAAAAAAATTATTTTGCTATCAACGGTTTCAGTCATGTCAACCTATTGGATGAAGCGGCTTAAAAAAACCTAAAGTAAAAATTACTTCAACTGAAAACCTCTTAAAAAGTCTCCTTACTTTGAAAAATTATTTTTCAACCAGTACAGAAATGTTAACAAGTATCTATACAATACACCAGTTTGGTAATTAAGAACAATTCACTTACATATAAACAAAACACCACCCCCTACCCCCTATTGAAACAGAAGTAAAATAGTAGCTAACTTAGAAGCTAACTTAAAACATAATACAACAAAACTAGTTTTGTTGAATTATATAGACCTAAGTGTAAGTAATATATAATACACACAGAATAGAAAACTTACCTCCCTATACACGAAACAGACATCCCAACACCATTAGCTAAACCAGTTAAGTCTGAAGCAACAGAGTTGTTTATGAAAATATTGATTGCTGTAAAACCTGACATCATTGCAATGCGAACAAATACTTGGTTAATCCACAAGATAATCCAAAGAAAAATTCTAAAATATAAATAAATATTTATATTGAAAAAAAATTTTTTAAATATATTACAGAGTATAAATTAATAGATCTTAATATTCTGCAACTTTCAATAACTAGTAACACAATATATATCACATTTAAAACAATATATAACAAGACAAAACAATATATATATCACATTTAAAACAATATATAACAAGAAAAAACAATATATATATATATATATATATATATATATACATATATATATATATATATATATCACATTTAAAACAATATATAACAAGAAAAAACAATATATATCACATTTAAAACAATATATAACAAGAAAAAACAATATATAACAAGAAAAAACAATATATAACAAAAATATATATATATATATAACAAGATAAAACAATACATAACAAGATAAAAAAATATATAACAAGAAAAAACAATATAATACAAGAAAAAACAATATATAACCAGAAAAAAAATATATAACAAGAAAAAACAATATATAACAAGAAAAAACAATATATAACAAAAAAAGTTCTAAAATATAAATAAACATTATAACAATACCTTGCATCTTTCAATAAATAGATTAAAAAAAAACTTTTATATAGATGAGGAACAAATCAAGAATAATGAAAATGCAAGACCAAAAGTGAAGCCTAAAGTGAATCCTAGAAGGTTAGGAAATTGAGGAAGAGCATTGTTAATATGGACATTGTTAATGTACAATGAGCTTTTATGATGATCTTGTATGATGTAGCAAGGCTTATAGTGAATGAAATGTTTTGAGATAATACCAACATGTCACAAGCCTTTGATACATCAAGAGCAATAACCTGATTAACAAGTCGTTAATAGTTGTCAGGTCAGGAGTATGGTCTTCATGATCATCCTGCTACTGGTAACATGTAACCCAGTGCAACCTGTTCCATGTTCTGCTGCCTTGCAGGATTTGCTATCTAAGCAAAGGCTGGAAGGAGTGTTCTTCCTGTCATCAGTACTATCTTATATCAGTCATGTCTATAGTAATTTTTTTTTTTTTTTTTTTCCCCATATAGTTGGAGGTGCCTTAGTTACTGTATTAGCTCACCTGTAATCTACGTTATATGTATGTTTGTGTTCTGTCTGAACCTCTGGCGCGGTGTTCGCTCACCCGTAAGTTACTTTATGTTCTTTATGTATGTCTGTGTTCTGTCTGAACCTCTGGCGCGGTGTTCCCTCACCCGTTAGTTACTTTATGTTTATGTTTATGTTTTTGATGTTTTTTTATGTATGTTTGTGTTCTGTCTGAACCTCTGGCGCAGTGTTGACTCACCCGTAAGTTGATTTATGTTTGTTTGTGTTCTGTTTATACTCTAATGCAGCGTGAGCTCAGTAACTAACTACTTACTCCATATACAAAACGTACACTCACCTTAGACTCCTGTATTTTGTTAGATGCAGTGTTTTTCCTTATGCACTTCCAAAATGTCATGCCTGGTTTTCTCAAAGTACTGTTGCGGGAAGTAGCTCCTTTTAACTACTCTAGGTCAGGTCAGGATAATCGAGATCAATCTTGCTACTGGTATCACGTAACCCAGTACCACCTGCCACAAGCCCTGCTGCCTTGCAGAGTGTGCTCTTCTTATGCAAAGGCTAGGAGAAATAAACTCCGACTAAAAATTCCCCTGCCTTGGGGCTCTTGGTTGAGTAAAGGCTAGAGATGGTGTCACGATAAAAACACTCATCTTGGGCAGATGTTAACTGCATCCAGCTAAACATCCCCTGCCTTGGGGCTCTTGGTTGAGTAAAGGCTAGAGATGGTGTCTCGATAAAAATACTCATCTTGGGCAGATGTTAACTGCATCCTGCTACTGTCTTGTAGAAGGCCTCCTAGGCAAAGACTTTAGGGGTAAGCAGAAAAATTCTGCTAACCAGCCTCGAACCCCTTCTTCATCTATTAGGCTGGCGTAGATGTAACCTGTGTTACATTCTTTCCTGCCTAGGATGATGAATGCTGGATCTCCTTGACTCTACTCATAGAATTTTGCTTATGCCTCTATGATAATGGCTATGCAACTCTTCCTGTTATCTCCATATGAGGGTACAGCTCTAAAACTCAGTTTAATGGTTCTGAGGCCGGCTGGTAGTAAGGTTTCCCGAACTCTGTGGTAGCTCTCAGAGAGGCTGATTCCATCAACAGCTGCAAAATATCAGAGTATTAACAGTGCCATGTTGCGCATGGATGGTGTCCCTGTTAATGCTTTTGGTGTGCTTTGTCAAGGCCACATAAGGAGCCCTATGTCACGGCTTAGGGTTAATTAACAGGACTGAGACAACTGCATAGCTCATTGATTAGGAGGCTGTGCTCTATCTATGAATGAGTCAAGTTCTCATTAAACCCAAATCATGACCAAAGTAACCAAAAATTTAAAACCTAAAAAACCATCCCCACTACCTAAATATTTTAATATATCTTTTACAAATATTCGCGGTCTACGAAGCAACTTTCCATCAGTTGAGTCTTACCTCCTGCAAAATTCACCAGACTTGCTTGCACTCAGTGAAACAAATTTAAGTTCTGCAATTCCTTCTTCAGATGTCAGTGTTGATGGGTACTATCCTTTGATTCGTAAAGACTCCAATAGTCACATGCTAGGTTTAGGGGTATACATACGCATTAATTCCCCTATTTGTTGTGAAATCAGGTTCGAATCCTTTGACCATTCTTTTGTGTGCTTTCGCCTAGCACCTCTTCACTCTATCACCTTTCTCTTTGTTCTTTATCGTTCTCCTTCTTCCCATGATTGCACTCTTTTAGATGTTATCTCTGATCAAATTGACCATGCCCTCTCTCTTTACCCCTCTGCCAATATTGTTGTTGTTGGTGATTTTAATGCCCATCACACTGAATGGCTTGGCTCTAACACCACTGATCCTGCTGGCACTAAAGCCTTTAACTTCTGCGTTTCTCAATCTCTTACTCAGATAGTTAACTTTGTGACTCATTTTCCTGACAACCCTAATCATTTACCTTCACTCCTTGACTTATGTCTTGTCTCTGACCCTAGCTTATGTTCAGTTTCTCCCTTTTCTCCCTTAGGTGGTTCTGACCATGCAATGATCTCTATAAATCTTTCTTCTCGTACTTCTTTTTTGGGCTCACCTTATCATCGCACCACCTACTACTACCCTAAAGCTGACTGGGATTCCTTTCGTGATTTTCTTCGTGATGGTCCTTGGGCTGATGTTTTTTCTCTCTCAGCTGACAAATGTGCCTCCTACGTAACCTCCTGGATTCAGGCTGGAATGGAAGCTTTTATTCCTTCGCGTCGGTTTCAAGTCAAGCCTCATTCTACTCCATGGTTTTCTCCTTCTTGTGCGGCTGCTATATCCAATCGTAACCATTTTTTTCATCTTTTTCAAAAGAACAACTCTCTTGAGAACAAACGGCTATTTATTATTGCAAGAAATCGATGTAAAAAGGTGCTTTCTGATGCTAAACTCCATTATTCTCAGTTCACTAAATCTCGCATCTTATCGCAGAAGTTAGGCTCTAAAGACTTTTGGAAAATCTTCAACAGCATTGTTAACAAGGGTAGATCTAACATTCCATCTCTCATTCATGGGACTGATCTTGTTACCTCTCCCAGGGATAAGGCAGAACTGTTTGCAAAGAACTTTTCTTATAATTCCACTCTTGAATCTTATGGACATTCTCTTCCTTCCATTCCAGTCAAACAGGTTGACCCATTGTTAGACATTCAAATCACTCCGGCTTCTGTTGCTAAAGTCATATCTCAATTAAACTCGTCTACAGCTTGTGGTCCAGACAACAGTCTTGCAGAATTGCTCCCCAGAACTTTCTTCAATTCTCTCTAAACTATTTAACAAATGTTTGACTGAGTCTTGTTTTCCTGCTTGTTGGAAAATGGCATCTGTGGTTCCAATATTCAAAAACTCTGGTGAAAATTCTGACCCCTCCAATTATCGTCCGATCAGTCAAATAAACTGCTGTCAGACAATCAATACGGTTTTTGATCCTCTCGCTCTACGGCCGACTTGCTAACTGCTGTAACTGAAAGATTTTATCGTGCATTAGATGGAGGCGGTGAGGCTAGGGCTATTGCTCTTGACATATCTAAAGCTTTTGACAAAGTTTGGCATGCTGGTCTTCTCCATAAGCTTGCTTCGTATGGTGTTTCTGGGAAAGTTTTTGAGATTATCAAATCATTTCTTTCTAACCGGTTTATTAAAGTCATCCTTGAAGGCCAACACTCTTCTTTATTTCCAGTAATTTCTGGGGTTCCCCAAGGTTCCATCCTGGGCCCTGTTTTGTTTCTTATCTATATAAACGATCTTCCTGACAACCTTTCATCTAAAGTAGCTCTTTTTGCTGATGACTCAACTTTATACTCCTGTCTTGACAAAAAGTCTTCTCTTTTCGATCGCCTAGAACAAGCAGCTGATCTTGAATCTGATCTCACTTCAGTAATAGATTCGGGTTCACAGTGGCTTGTGAATTTCAACTCTAAAAAAACCCAGTTGCTTACTGCAAACAACTACCGTAATATGGTCAACATTCCTATATTAATGAATGGCAATCTTCTTACTGAGTCGTCCTCTTTACGACTTCTTGGATTATCGCTTACTACTGACCTTTCATGGAAACCATATATACAATCGATTGCTAAATTAGCTTCTGCTAAGGTTGCTTCTCTTTATCGTGCTCGCCATTTCCTTACTTCTGATTCCATTCTCTACCTCTACAAATCTCTTATTCGTCCCTGTATGGAATACTGTTGTCATATTTGGGCTGGTTCTTCTAACGATTCACTCTCTCTTCTTGACAAGGTCCAAAAACGCATTGTAAATGTTGTTGGACCCGGACTATCTGCTAAGCTTGAACCTCTTTCCCATCGTCGTAAAGTTGCATCTCTTTCTCTTTTCTACAGATACTATCATGGTCACTGCTCAAAGGAGTTATCATCTCTAGTTCCATCAACTAAAATTCATTCTCATTTTACTCGTCATTCAGCTAAGTCTCATTCGTTTTCTGTATCTGTCCCTGCATGCTCTAAAAACTTTTATTCATCTAGTTTTTTTCCCCGCACTTCAATCCTTTGGAACTCTCTCCCATCTTCATGTTTTCCTGACTCATACAACCTTCAACTTTTTACGTCTTCTGTTAACCGTTTCCTTGCTCTATAACTCTGTTGTTTTTTTTTCCTAGTAACTCCCAACTTAATAGTGGTTGCTTGCAGCCTTGTTGGGAGTGAATGCAAATAAAAAAAAAAAAAAAAAAAAAAAATAGAACAAGAAGACTATAATCTATGTGATTTTCAGAAAATAAGATGAGATATTTGGCATTATAATGTTAGTTAAAGATTAATGGACACAGCTAATAAAAGTAAAAAAAAAAACTGTTTGTATAAAAGTTAAGGGGTTAAAAAGCTCAACAAAGTTATTAAAAACTGAAATCACATTTTTCAACAGATTAGAAAACAAGATTCAGTTAAGCACTTATTAGAAAGTATTAAAAAAGGAAAACTCTGTAAGAATGCAATAAGAATGTTGTTAAGATATTAAGTTAAATTAAGAAATTTAACTTTAAAACAACTTTAATAACAAAAAGGATTGGAATTTTTCTATTAATTTTTTGTTAATGAAATTTTTTTAAACCTCACTAGAATCTGTTTTTTTAAATAAAACAGTAGAACTAAATGAAATAATGGAATTTAGCATTAGACAAATGGGATCATTTCAAATAATGGACTTTTACATAAGACATATTGGATCTATTTATTGAAAAAAATCTTATAAAGAAAAAGTGCAATAAAAATTTTCTCAACAAGGAAATAGTATTATAAATTAATAAAGGACCTGACTCGATTATAAATTGTGAATGATATACAATAAGATATGCAGTTGCTTTAGTCCTGGTAATGAACCCAAAATTGCAACAAAAGATTTTCATAGCTTTGACATACACCAAAAACATTAACAAAAAAACTTTCCAACTGCAACTTGGCACTTTAAATACATTGATATTTTACAGTTGATGATGAAATCAGTCTACATGAGAGCTACCAAAAATTTTAGAAAACTGCACCACAAGAAAAAATCAAAACTGTTAATCTTAGTTTTAGAAATCTCATTAGGATATGACAATAGAGCCACTATTCACGGCTGTTTCAAAGTGAGCTTTACAGTTTTTTTCTTCAAATAATCACTTAAGTAGTGTTACTAAAACTTTTTTAACTTTTGAAATATTAGAGATAATTTTGTTCTGTAAAAAGAATATAAACACCAATACAATGTTTTACATTATGACATTAAATGAATTAACAAAAACTTTATTTGATTTTAAATTAAACGTGGCCAATGAAGAACTTGGATTAATTTTTAAAACTATTTGTCGCTTTTTACCAAAAAAAAAATTGAAAAAATATATTTTAAATAATTATTATTAGATAATAAACATTTTACAACTAATATTAATCAAAAATTTTTTACTTAAACCTAATTTTAAACTAAAGTCGTTAACTAAATTGTTAACTAAAGCCGTAAACTGTTAACTCGTCTAGTTTTTTTCCTCGAACATCAGTTCTTTGGAATTTGCTTCCTTCATCTTGCTTTCCTTATTCATATAATTTGCAATCTTTTAAGTCGTCTGTAAATCGTTATCTTGCTCTACAATCTTCATCTTTTCTCTTCCAGTAACTTCCAACACTAATTAGTGGTTGCTAACAGCCTTGTTGGAAGCGAAGATGTTAAAAAAAGAAAGAAAAAAAAAAAAAAAAAAACAGGCATTATTAAAGTTAGTAAAGCCAATAGCATTATTTTACTAGTAAAGTATTTGAGGTGGCATGATTATTTTACTAGTAAAGTATTTGAGGTGTCATCCATCAAAAAAGTTATGTATTGCATTTAAAAACAATAAACTAAAAAATATAAATGCTTCAAAAAAGTTTTTTATAGAAAAATTACCAGGAAGATGTAGGAATCTGATAGAATGGATATTCATGGCTAAGTGCTCTAAATTTCAACTATCAAGCACAGAGCTATGTTGTCAAATCTTAGTTTTTCTGCAACTTAGGTTTTCTGCAAAATATGTGGAAACCAGAAAAGTGATTCTTAATCATTAAAAATATTTTAGCAATATTTATTTTTATTCCACCTAATGTAAATATTTATTTAACTAAGAAAGATGGATATTTTATATATATTTTTAAATTGAAGTATTCATATAAAAAGTTACTATTATTTTAACGTTTGTGAATTTTTATACTTTTTATGCGGAAATACTTTTATTTTTGATAAACTCACGCTTGACGTCACACTCGCTTTTATAATGAGTGAAACAGCCGAGTATTAAGAAGGCACAACTAAAATCTTATGTGTAGAGTCAAGAAGATCCAGCATTCATTATCTTAAACAACACAGACTATAATAAAGATTGCTGCTGTTTATATCTACATTTTTATTGATACCATCAACAGGGTTGGGGTCAAATAAATTTTTTCTTAAATTAATTTACAAAATTTGTACATTAATTTAAGAAAAAATAAAAAGATTTTTTAAGAGAAGACTGATAAAAAGGTCTACTAAATAGAAGAATGAAAATTAGTCTTCTAATAAACATTTCTTAAATAAACTTTTAATTTATTTTAGCATTTTAAATAAAAAAAAACTAAAAAAACTAAACATATTTCCCAAAAAAAACCCACCAGTTAGACTATTTTGTGGAATTGCAGAAACATTTCAATCAAATATAAATATCAAAGAAATTTTTTAATCAAATACAATACAAACACAAATATGTAAAAATAGCCTTTTTTTACCTAATACAAATAGAAAAACATTGTTGACCCCAATCCTGACCATCACTATAGACACCATACACAAATAAATGCTGGAGTCTTCCCTGTTGTATGTTGTCAATGTACTAAACCAGGTTGTCAACTTGTTAATTTGTGCAGCAAACTTGTTTCCCAAAGTTTGGATTTTAAAGTTGAAAAAAGGGTTGAAAAAAACTGAATAACCTCCTTGTCCTTAAGGAGGCTCAAAACACAGTTTAAACAAAAATTGCTGATGGGAGCAGTATTTAAAGGAAGAGTTAACTTCATTTAGACTTGCCTAACAAACAGGACATGTAGCAGTTGTTACGCAATTTAAAACGAAACACTATGAAACATAAAATATCAGAAACTACACAAAAAAACTCAGAACATAAAATATCTTAAATGTAAAATGTCTAAAATATGAAATATCTAATAAATGAAATACAGCTTTACCTTCATATACATCGACTGCATTACTTTAAATTTGCTTAATGCAGATCCATTTATCATAATAAATGGATCTGCATTATACAAAAAATATATATTTTTTAAATTTACTTACAACTTTGACTTAATGTTGCATACTGCTTTATAGAAATAACTTCTTTTCACAACTTTAAGTTTCATGCTGTTGCAATCATCAGGTGAAATACTTTCACCTGATGATTGCAACAGCATGAAACTTCTTCATAAAACTTAATTATATTAGCATTTTTGTTTATAAGCATGCAAAAGCGTTTAAGTTCTTTTTAGAAACTTGTCAACTGTTAAACTTATAAATCAACTTTTTTTTTCTTTATTCTTTAAACTAATTTTTCACATGTTAATTAAAGTTACTTTAGATCTTTAAAGTTTATGACAACAAAACTGAGCGAGCGAGTCAGAGTGAGTTTTTTTGACATTATGACATCAAAAATAATCTTACAAACTTGATTTTAAAAACTTAAGTTCTTGGCATTTATATTGATCAATGTTGCCACACTATTTTAAAAGATGTATTGTAATATATTATTGAAAAACAGTTATTTAATTTTTTCATAAAATTATGGATAGAAAACTGTGCAACTATTTATTCTATATATATATTTTTAAATTAAAGAAAATACAAATAATTTATCTCTATTAAAATCACAAATGCAAAAATAGGAAAATATAGGAAAATTAGAACAGAATAGAAAAACATAAAAACTCACTTGTTTTTTATAATGCTAATCAATGGTATCAAAGGCATTAAAAAGCCAAATATGAGAGATGATGATATAAATATCTGAAAATAAATTTAATACATATATTATGGAGTCGCATGATTGAAAATAAAAATAAAAAATAGTCTGAAGCTCAAAATTAGTTTACCTTTTTTGAACCAAATTTGTCAATCATCTAAAATAAAAATGCTGATGATTACTATTCATCAAAATATGTTTGTTATGAAAATACATTCATAAATGATTACACAGAACACAGGTTAGAAATTTACCCATAATGTCATTTGTGCATTAAAATATGAAATACTTTAGAAAAATTTTTATTGAAAAACTTCTAACCAACTTGTTTACGTTGTGTCAACAAGTTGATATGAAGTGTCATATTGAAATAATAAAAAAGTTATGAAAAGTATTTTTAAAATATAAACTTTATATAAATTTACAGAACCTTTGGTTTATATTTGGTTTTTATTATCATAAATTATCCAGGTCATATTTTAAAAATCCAGAAAATCATTAGGGTAAAATATCAAGAAAAAATCCAGAAAATATTTTCCCTTATTCCTTTTAATTTTGCTTTTAGCTGAGTTGTTTTTAATTTTTTTTTTTAACTTTTCTTAATTTTTGTATGAGTAATTAGTAAAAAAGCTTAAAAAACAAATATATTACAAAAATATATTCCTAAACTTGTATGCATAGAAAACATTTTTGATATCTGGAAAAACTAAAAGTTGAGAAAAATATCCAGGAAAAGATAATCCCTGTATTATAGTTTTGATTATTTTACTATTAAAAAACTGTTAAAAAAATTATTGCATACCTTGTTGATAAAAACGAGTTGTGCAATGAACATTGCTACCGAAACAATTAGATAAAGTAAACCTATTTCAGATGTTGACATTCCTAGACCACCTGCAATATGAAACAAAAATAAAAATATAAACAATTATGAATATTAAAACTATTTACTTTAAATAAATAAAGTTGAATAAAAAAATATAAAAAGATGTGTGATGGAATTTAAGGTGGAAGTTATGTGATGGATGGTGGTAAAGGTTTTCTGGTGTATGGTGATTAAGTATAGAATGGAAGCTGCGAGGATGTTATGACAACCTTGTTATGAGATTTTGTTGCATAATGGAAAAACGCAACTTTAGTCAAGATCCATATTTACATCAATAAAAGTTAAATTACATCAGTTAAGTATTTTGAAGTTCCACATTGTGATTAAATTTGAAACCATGCTAAAAATCATTTTTACTTATTTAAATTTATACTTTTCATTGCTTAAAACATTTATAACACAATATTATCGCTTTATGTTTGTCTCACAATTTATTTTTAAATGGAGCATTTAAATTTTTTTTAAATGGAACATTTTATTGGGGCAATTGTTTAAAGGTAAATTTCTTAACGATAAAAAAAACAACAAAAAACTATCAACAATTTTTTTTTTTAACTTTTTGACTTTAACAAAATCTATAGTTAATCATTTCTAATTAGCATTTATTTTAAGATCAATCTAAAAACTTAATGATAATAAAAAAACTTATGTTAAAAAGCAATTTCAAAACTAAAAAAAACCATCTTTTCATAAATTTGTTACATAAAGTTTACTAATAAAAATCTCTAAATTAATTTTACTTACAGACCTGATTATAGTTTGATCTGATCTGGTATTGGATATACAGTTATAAGCAATTTGTACTTTTGCATATTAGCACAGTTGTAACATGTTACAAAAGTTGTTGTTGTTGCAAGAATTGTTATATAATTATTTTTTGCTTTTTAATTAAAAATAGGAAAAAAAAGTTATATGTTCAAAACTGTCATTTATTTACTGAACGTTAGATTTCAAAAAATGAATTAAAACTTATTACAAAACTCTTTTTAAAAACAATGGAATAAATAAACAATTTGTTTTTTCAAAAGGTAGTATGTTTTTAAAATATGCATTCAGATCAATGTTAACATTAGCTTGCTTAACATTTGTTGGCAATTAGGAGTTTACTATGTTGTTGGCAATTAGGAGTTTACTATGTTGTTGGCAATTAGGAGTTTACTATGTTGTTGGCAATTAGGAATTTAATATGTTGTTGGCAATTAGGAGTTTACTATGTTGTTGGCAATTAGGAGTTTACTATGTTGTTGGCAATTATGAGTTTACTATGTTGTTGGCAATTAGGAGTTAACAAAAGTAAAAACTTCAGTCTTTATAATAACTGTGAAAACTTAATTTTTGAAAAATAACTTTTTGATCTTTAGCTTGCTTTTTTTTTGTTATCTTTTCGACTATAATATTATTAAAAATAATAGTTACAACAATTTGATAAAAGTTTTTCCAAGTTATTTTAAAACTTTAATGTTTAAAAAAATCTTGTGCAGATTTTTTTTTTTACATTTTTTTTATATTTAATGTACATAATTATATATATATACATATATATATATATATATATATATATATATATATATATATATATATATATATATATATATATATATATATATATATATATATAATATATATATATATATATATTTATATAAAAGGTACCTTGAAGCACTTTAAAAACTATTACCTTTAATAAAAGTTAAATAAACAGCTAATACTTAAATCGTAATGAAAATTAAAATAATATTAAGTATGCTTATTATGTTTTGTATTGTTGTTGTTGTCTTTATAATTTATTAAATACTTATGTTTTGTATTCAAATTGTTGTCTTTATAATTTATTAAATACTTATGTTTTGTATTCAAATTGTTGTCTTTATAATTTATTAAATACTTATGTTTTGTATTCAAATTGTTGTTGTTTTTATAATTTATTAAACACTAACTATTTAAAAACAAGACGTAAACGTTTAATAAGGGCAATTACTATTATTTTAATACTATTGCTATTTATTATTTTTATTATTCAATTACTCATTTTTTTTTAATAATATAAAAAACTACCAACCATATTCAATAGAAGTAGAAGCAAAGACTGGAAATAATTCTTCATAACCAATAGTAAACAGAGTATATAATCCGTAAAGCATAGATGAAATAAGGAAATCTTTGTTTCTAAAAATATTTCTACAAAATCAAATTAAAAAAAAAAAAAATAAGAACTTAAAAAAAAATTTGAATAATAATTCAGTAAAATTAAATTATCAATTAAACATAAATAATGGCAAATTTAATAACTAATAAAACAGTACAATTTTAAAAAGTGATAAATATTGTAGAAAAAAACAAAAAAACAACTACCTTAACAGTTTAGCAAAACTACTCATCTTTAACAACATCAAGAATTTTTTTAACTTGGAAGGCTTTGAATCAATTAATCTAGTTGATTCATTTTTACTTTTTTTAAGTATTTCTAGATTAACAGAACAATTGAGATATGCATCAACATTGAACATAGAAGAGTCCTTTTTATCTTCAATAAGTAACGAATCCCTGTCAACGCTAGTTCTGTAAAAAAGACTTTTTTGTATAATTATTATATTTTATGTAATGCATTTTAATTTATATATATATATATATATATATATATATATATATATATATATATATATATATATATATATATATATATATATATATATATATATATATATATATATATATATATATATATATATATATATATATATATATATATATATATATACATATATATATATATATAATGTTGCTTTTTAGGACACTGTAATATATATATGTAAAAATTTTTCTAGCATTAATTAGAACAGAAAAAAATTGTATGAGTTTAAACTTTCTTAAACAAAAAACTTTCTAAAAAAAACTTAAAACTGTTTTTTGAGCCTTTAAACTGAAAAACTATTTTATTATTTTTTTATAATAAAAAAAGCTATAACAAAAATACTATTTCATTATTTTTTTATTTAGAGAATGTATACTTTATGTAGTAGAATTAATGTGTTTTCACATAGCTTCATCATTTTTAACTAAAGGTTGCAAGTACTTGCTGAGATCAAAATTTAAAAACTCTTATAGATCCTTAATGTTGGACAGATAGGGCAACTTTTTATGTTATAGCAAAAAGAATTATTTATACCCACCCTGAATATTTTTTTTTAATTTTTTTTTTGTTTCGAGTGTTTTTTTAAAATGCTAACTAATTAAGCTTTTTAGGCTGCAATTTATAAATATGCCATTTACAGTCGTGTTATATGAGACGAGCGCGATCGCTCCTGATTCATTCCAAGGCCTATATATATACAGGGTTCCCACTACTAAAACTGGGGCTAAAATTAAGGATATTAAGGAGATTTAAGCAGATATTTTCCTATTATTTAAGGAGATTTAGTCGCGAACGACAATTTTTCTAAGGAAAAAGTAAGGAGAATTAAAAAGAAAACAATTACACTAAAAACAGAATCTTTCTTTTTTCAATCAATTTTAAATATAAATAGATACACTATTATAAATAAAAAAAGAAATATATATATATATATATATATATATATATATATATATATATATATATATATATATATATATATATATATATATATATATATATATTCTCTAGTAACTCTGGTTTTTCACAAGCGGCTCTTGTTAATGCATTAGATTTTGATATATCAGCTTTAATGTCATCTAAATAGAGAAGGAATCATTAAATAATCATATTACATTTAGTGATACAAACTAAAAAAACACTTATATTCAAGGCTTTAACCTAAGGCTATTCTTTTTTCAGCTCAGAAACCAATTTCATCAGATGACTTTTTTAAATTCTCAATCATAGATAATGTCTGTCGAATTTCAGTATTGACAATTTCAATATCTTCTATAATTTTTCTTTTTGCTTCCATTTTCACTGTTTTTTCTACAGACAGGGCTTTTAAATGTTGATCATCAAAATACTTTTTTCTTGCTTGTTTGCAATAATCTAATAAATCTTTTGTTTTTTTTATTTCAACTTCATGAGCCATAAACCCATGAAATGTGAGGTAATCTTGGATTGAACGTAAAGAGATAATAGTGTCTGGGGACATATTGTCATCGATCAGACTTTTATTGCTGCTAAATTCTCTTTCAACTTGAGCTTGTCTGTGGGATAAAATGAGTATAATTTTGAAATGTGCTGTAGATTTGCATATATCTTTAAATCAGTGTATTTCCACAAAAAGTAGTCCAAACAATCCTTATCTTTATCAAAAGTCAAAAATACTTCTTTGTTATCAACAACCACACTTTTACAGAACCTGGAATATTCTTTCTTAGCTAAATCACCAACAGAAGCTCTAATTTTCTTGTAAGTAACAAGCTTTATCAACAGTTTGTCAAAAAAATAATCACACTTTTCTGGATATTCAACCATAAATGATGGGGAAATACACACCAGACAGCGAGCAACCAGTGAAGACAAAGGGCTTTTCTCAATAATATGAGTACACATTGAGACAAGAAAATCACATATTTCCTTTTTGAACTTATCAATTTGAACATCGGTAATCTTTCCCTTACTCTTAAGTTGCTGGAGATAAAACTTCAATGAAAAACCAACATCAATTTGGCTGGTTGAAAGCCAGTTTGCGAAATTAAACAAATCTATTTTTAACAAAGATGTTGTAGTTTTGGCATTTAAAAGAACATCTAATTGAATGAACTTTGCATAAAAGTTGTGTAGTAGTTCTTCAAGTGTCACCACCAGAAAAGGAGTCATTGGTTTATCAGTTTGAAAAGAAACTAGAAGAAAAAAAAAATAGCAAGATTAAAAATAACTTTTTGTGATTTTTTCTCAAAATTTTAAAAATAATATGAAAAGAATAGCTCAGAATATTTTTTTACTTTTGTAATAAAACAAAATATATTACATAAAGAGCAATAAAATTGCATCTAGATTAAATATTACGTACCAAGGAATGTATTTAGACTGCCACTAATTTCTTCAAAAAACTTCAACTTTAAAGGAACTAAAAATTCATTTGTTCGAGAACTTAAATGTTCAAAGCTGGTGTTTTGTCCTGATTTACCACATCCAGGTTGCTTACTCTTTGGTAAAGACTTCCAGTAGTCAACAACTAATACTACTTTTGACCAAACCTCTATTGCTTTCTTGGCAACACTTTGATTTTCAGCCCATCGAGTACCACAAAACATGTAAGGAAAATCTGAACTTGTTGCCTCAGCTATTCTTTTATAATCACTTAATCTTGATGGACTTTCATGAAATTTTTGGTACATTGAAGACATTAACTTCCTTAAGCTCCAATCAGTAGCTTTAGCACCAGTTTGTAAGGATCCATTGATAGTATGTAAACCACAGGTACCAATATCGATGAGTGTACTTAATTCATTGTTATGACGTTCTTTGTTGAGCATTTCCAAAAACAGTTTATTTACATTAGGGCCATCCATAGAAACCTGAAACATTTTTTCAGCATTTAAACCAGTCATGCAGGATTTAAACATATTTAGAATATCTGGGGCTGCAGCTTTTCTCATGAACTCTGAAGTATAATATCTTGTGCAAACAGTAATACTCTCTTCATTCCAATATCTTACATGTAAGTCCATTCGACCTTTCTTTACAATTTTATTGTAAGACTCATCAAAAAGACACACAAAGTTATCAACAGGTTAAGATCTTTTATCAGAATGTTTTTAAAATAAGGGGCAAGACCATGAGTTACAATATAGCCAGACTTTGTTCGACCACAGGAAAAGTTGCTGGCAATTTTGCTATCTGGAAACATGGAAGCAAATTGTTTAGACTTATTCTCACTTGATCTAAAAGAGTATTTGCTTTGAACAATATCTAAACACCAAATTAACTCTGCTTTCAAAACTGCTTCCTTTTGAAGCATATCTGAAATAATACATTGTTTTGATGAGGTAGGCTTCTGTGGTACTGATTGCAAAGTTTCTTTAAACAAAAAAAATAACCCTCTTTAGGCAATCGCTCTATGTGTTTTGCTCCTCTCCCATGTACATCAAGAGCCTTTATACCCATGGCTGCTACTGAGAATTACTTAAAACAAACTTTGCATCTTGCAAGGCTAGGATTTTTATCTTTCTGAAGCCAAGAAGTGTAACTATCATTATTTAACCGAATATCCTGGAAACTACTTTTATATTTAGGCATCTAAAGGCAATTATTGAAAAACATATAACAATCTTTTTAATATCAAGTTTGTTTAATATCTTGATAAAGGTTTTTTACCTAAAGTATATACATTTAGCTGTAATTAGGTGTATATATATATATATATATATATATATATATATATATATATATATATATATATATATATATATATATATATATATATATATAGATATATATATATATATATATATATATATATATATATACATATATATTCACACACACATACATATATATATATATGTGTGTGTATATATATATATATATATATATATATATATATATATATATATATATATATATATATATATATATATATATTTATATGTATATATATATATGTATATATATATATATATATATATATATATACATATATATATATATATATATATATCCCTCTGATTTAGGGTTGGCATTCGGCAATGCTGACCTTAAGGTGCTTGAGGTTGGCAAAATATTGCTGACCTCATTTCTATGTTTTATAGTAATCCCTTTGTAACAAATTTTCTTTACCAACCTTATGCCAACTTTTAATAGTTTGAGGTCAGCAATAAATTGCTGACCTCAACTTTCCTCATTCGGAGGGTTGTATATATATATATAGCTGTAAATAAAAAAGAGAGTCAATTACAAAGAAAACAAAATAAATATATATAAAGAAAGTGAAAGTCAAATACAAAAAGCCAAAAAAAAAAACATAAAAAAATCTCTAATACTCGGATGGCTGATATATAATATACATGTATGATATATATGTGGTATATATATATATATATATATATATATATATATATAATATATATATATATATATATATATATATATATATATATATATATATATATATATATATATATATATATACACATATATATATATATATTAAAAATAAAACTACATATTTTTCACTAACTTACAGTAGTGAAAAATATGTAGTTTTATTTATAAAAATTATATAAATACAGCTCTGTTTTAATTTAGATTATTTTAATTTACTTTAATTCATCGAGCACTCACACGAAGATAAAGGCAAGCATTAATATGTATACATACATATATATATATATATATATATATTATATATATATATATATATATATATATATATATATATATTTTAACTTATCAAAGAAGTAACTAAGTAACTATATGCTTCTCTATAGATAAGTATAATCCATTTGCTTTCCTACTTTCCAAAATTTTCCAGATAATTAAAAAAAAAATTAAGGAGAAATAAGGGATAGCAGTCAAATTTTAACTTTTTTTAAGGTTATTTAAGTACTTTTAAGGAGTTTTTATTTTTTTAAGGATATTTAAGGTTTTTAAGGAGGAGTGGGAACGCTGATATATATATATATATATATATATATATATATATTATATATATATATATATATATATATATATATATATATATATATATATATATATATATATATATATATATGTATATATATATATATATATATATATATATATATATATATATATATATATATATATATATATATATATATATATATATATAATATATATATAATAATAATAAGAATAATAATAACAATAATAATAAAAATATATAATAAATAAATATTTTATATATAAAAATATAATATATATAATCATTTTCTTTGTGGCTGGTGAGCCACAAAGATAAATTTATAATTTTTAATTATAATTGAACGACAATTGAAAAAGCATTGATTTAATGCAGACATCAGAAATAGTCTTGATTGGAAACCCAATTACTCAATATTTATGTGCAGTTACTCAACAGTTACACTCAATTCAATTAATGCAAGTTTACAATAAAAAACCACTTTTAGAAAGAAATCAATATTTAAAAAAAATTATTTGATATAGGGTTATGTCATTCAAATTAGTCAGTTATTTTATTCTTAAACTATTGGTAACCTTGGTTTTTATAGTTATTTATACAATTATATAATGTAAAATTTTTACAAACTGTTATTATTTTGACTTGAACTATGTCAAAACACATGTCTTTCTAAAATCTTTAAGATAAAATATAATGTAATACAAGGTAAACCATAAAACTACAGCAAAAAAGTAAACTCTTATCAGAATTTTATTACAAGAAATTACAAAAGAAATTACAAAAGAAATTACAAAAGAAAAACTGTCAACTTGTTGTTATCAATAAAACATTGAAATGACAGAAAGCAAGATCTTTATAAAATTTTGATACAAATTAGAATCTTTGATACAAATTAGAATCGAGACAGATAAAAACATTATACACACTAAAAAAAATAACATCATTATAACATCATTTGATTCTAAAGTTTAAACTGTAACGTTATATATAACGTTATATTTAGATTTATAATGTTATATTATTAAAGTAACGTTATATTTGTACTTTGATGTTATATTTAACGTTATGCTTAACATGTTTAAATGATGTTATATTTTCAGGAATAAATTATTTAATTTAATTTTGAAACGAGGCCGTTTTAAC